AAAAATTAATTTATGTTGGTTATTCTGAACGTTTAGCTTAGCCCAAACATTTGTGTACTTTTTTTACACTGCATGTCACAATGTTTACGGGCGCGGACGGGAGTGGATACACATGTTGCAGGAGCAGGCGGTAGAGCAACACATGATGCGGGAGTGGGCGGTAATAGTCACAAAATCAGCGGGAGCGGGATCGAGAAAACAGTTCCGCGCAAGTCTCTACTGTGTATATACACCTTATTTTAAAAACCGGATGTTGTCACGTGTGTATCCTCGCGCTAAATTCATCAAGTCCGTCCCAATTTGATAAATGTTGACTCGGATTGCGTAACATGAGGACTTCTTAGCCTCTCTTCACTTCTCTTTGTAAAGAGAGAAATGGATAAAGTCGCTAACCTGCCTGTCAGCTCGCACTGATCCGTTTCAGTGGATTCACCATAAAGGCTTGATTACGTGTGCAGTCCAAATTTAGGTGCGGCTAGCTTTATGGACTTCTCAGAAACGAGTGACAAACACTCAAAGCGGGTCAGACCGTTTGTTGCCTTTTCTAAGAAGTCAGCCACAGATGGGAGTGGATGTGGTAGGAGACAATTCAGCAGAACAGTGTCTGCAAACGGCGATTTTTGTGTCTTTCTCGGACACTTTAAAATGCTTCCACATTGCTGACATGTCAACCTAATTGTCTGGTAAAATTTATTCGGTCTTTTTACTTATTAGGCCAAACACGGAAAGTGCCTTTTTTGCTATTTTCGGCAGATTAATTTCGGTGGCTGAACATTTGGTGCATCCCTGGTCAAATCACTCACTGGTTAGCTCAGTTGGTAGAGCACAGGACCAACATTGTTTTTTCTTTTCTTTTTTTTCCATAATCCTTTTCAACAAAGTTCTTATGAAGAGACTGTTGCTGGACTGTGTGCATCCCAGCGATTGGTCCACATCCATCAACCTATGTACTTTTCATTTCTACATCATTCCCAGGCAGCAGAAATTCCTGTGCTTCTCATTCAGGGGAATCCATTTAACGTTACACATTACCTGGCGGCTATCTAAAAGTTTCTTAAATAGCCATCGGGAAATGTTAACTTTGTTAAAGAGGATAATAAAAAAACAAGTTGCTGAAAACAGGATTAGAACCCACAATCCTTGGATTACAATTCCTGCGCTCTACCAACTGACCAGTCACACTGAAAAATGCTATTATAATTATCAAAAAGAAACACAGGCCTACCCCTGTATTCAGCTGTGGTTTGTTATCTCAAGATCACAAGAAAATTATCCGTTATCACAGGAAAACTGTATATTTGAATGGATGGCCACTTAAGGCTTCTGTAGACTTAAGAGGAAATGAGATAAACCCTTTCCACCAACAATGTAACATTCATGCTTATCAAGTGCATCCTCATTTTTAACAAGAAATTGTAGTGGAACAGTTGGGGCATCCCCATTGCTAAATGTCAGTGTGATGCAATGTGTACAGTATATGTAGGAGGGAGATTGAGAGTAAACCAGAAGGTGTCACGTTGCTGAACATCTATTAAAACTAAACCTGGATGAGATTCATTTGTAAGTAAACAAATCAAATATATGATAACTACCACCTAAACTACCAGTTATACTGTATGTGATGTTAGCAATTCTGGATGGGGACATAACCATATGAAATCAACAGATGTAGGAGAGCTGGTTTTATTTCATCTTGCATTCAGTCTGGCATCTAATGCTGAATATGTTTCTTGTTTGTTGTGAGTAAATCTGTACTAGAAAATATTTTGTGGAAACAAATCCTATTAGCCTGTCAGCCAGATCAGTATTTTCATGCCCGTATGTCTATGTAATTCTTAAAAATGGTTATTGTGAATTCACAGAAGACAAAATGGAGGTCATGATTTGACTCAAAAATGGGGGAACTGTGGCATTAATTGGACTAAAAGGACGGAGACTCTCAATATCATTACATGTCGCAGTACGCTGCACCTACATTCTGAAGTATTGCATTAACAAAGCCCAAACTCAATGACCAGCTGCCTGTTAGCTGAATGCCTGTCACTTGTCTAAGTTACAGTAACAGTCAAAAACATAATCCTATGCCTGCTGTCTCCTCTCCCTTCTCTTCTGTTACCTGTTGGATAAACTCTGTCTCCAACCTCGCCTCCCACTCTGCTCGATTATAATTGCTCACATTTAACAGCTGAGCTTCTGAATCCTGAGGAGCAAAGACGAGGAGGAGGAGGAGGTGGCGACATGCACAAAAAAATAAAATAATAAATGCACGCATCTCTGGTGGAAATTGACTGGCAACGGCGTTTAAAATAATAAGATGCAGCTGTTGATAGTAGTGACTGTCTCCAGGTTTACTTCCCCGTGGCCCCTGTGGCAGCCGAGGAGCCGTGATGAAGGCAGACAGCTGACAGGTGCTCCAGGATGATGCTGCCATCAGGTGCATCTGCTAAACTTAACTCAGAGGCAGGAGAGGAGAGATAGGGAGGGAGAGGGGGAGGAAAAGAGAGTGAAAGACAAAAATGCTCGAGAGTGAGCAGGGAAAAAGGAGAGGAGTGGCCAAAAACATGAGGAAAAGAGGGTTTATGCAAAGAAGACAGATGATGGTGAGAAGGCAAGAGAGAGCGAGAATAAGTGTTTGAGTTTGCGGTGTGTATGATTGCGTGCACCTTGAAACTTTATGCCAGCCCCTTCCTGTGAAGAAATTCATAGGGTGTCTTTGAACCCGCGAGGTTGACGTCTAGACCCTGACACTCCGGAGGGCTAACAAGTTTACTGAGCAGGTCAGGAGATGGGTGAGATGGCAAGGGAAAGGTAATAAGGGGGAGATAATGAGCAGGTGCAGAAAATGATGGAGAGGAAATAGTTCATATTAATAATAAAAAAAAAAGAAAGAAGAAATGAAATAAAAGAAGGTGCAAGGCGGGGGAAAAGGCAGCTTGTCAGGAAGTTAGTTTGGGAGTGCGTATAAGGAGTAAGAGTGGATGTGTTGTTGCCATATGTTGATATATCACTGCATGCATCAGCACTTTGCAGCTGCTACACACACACGCACACACACATGCCTTCCGACTCTTGTGTCAGAAATGCAGCCTGGGTCTGAATACACAGCCATAATGGATTCACTCTGTGTGTTGCTCTGACAGTGGTGGCGCTGACAGTGTACCTGACTTTAATAAAAGGTGCAGCGGGCACAAGTCAGGAGCTGAGGCAGGGATTTGAACCCCCTTGAACCCCTGATGCTGGGGGGAGGGGCCCCTCATCCAACTCAAGGCCAGCCAGATGAAGTGTTCACTTGTATCACGACCCCCACGCGCAAATGCACAGCAGTGAAGGAGAGGAGCCTGACAGAGCCCGGTGCATCGCAGGTAGCCCGACAGAGTGGCTGGGAGCGCTGTCACCAATTTGTTCCTAGCCATGGGGGATATGCAGGGGATGGAGAGGCGATGGCAGCTCCCTGTCCTCATCATGGCTAATGAGGCCCAGGCTTCTCCTGCTTTGTGTGTGTGTGTGTGTGTGTGTGTGTGTGTGAGAGAGAGGGAGAGGGAGAGAGAAAGATCAGTTTGTATCAGTTCGTGTCACAATGCTGCCAAAGCTACTATTCCTAAAAAAACAGGGTTGATATCTGGCACAGATCACCGTGCACTCTTAGCTCTCCTTATACAACTCTCCTGGCTGAATATTTTACTGGGTCAAGAAACACACACACAGGGTGAGAGTCTTGTTCAAGGCGACCACCATTCAATACATTGCGGATCTTCAGGGACGCCACACCAGCTGAGGTTTGCTTGCTGTGCTGGCTGACCCATCAAACCCTCGAGGAAGGAGAGGGAGGACAGGAGGGAAGAGAGAGGAGAGGGATGGCGCCACACCTGCTGTGATAAAATACACCCTGAAATAATGAATTCTCATGAGGACTAAAACTGGTCAACGTATGATGACCTAAACCCTTAGGAAACATATGGCAAATGCTTTATTCAAATCTTAATCACTGGGGTTTTTTTTCCAGCCTAGTTTTTCAAGTTGAAGTTTAATCTAATTCCCATGTGTCTGTGACAGAAAACTACATTTTTTTCTGTAATGTTTTGAGTAATTTCACAAAATGTTTACACTCATTTTGTTTCATCGCTTTATACACACACCAATCTGTCAGGTTGAACAACACTTAAGTAGTTTGATATGCATTTTAGTAGATCTTATCTGTGGGATATATGAGGAGGGATGCTCCTTCTTGTGATATAATGCCGGTATCCATCTTGAGGACATTAAGAGTACAAATACATTCGATCTCATAAGAGAGGAAAACTGTGTGATGCGTTTGTGTCAGAGGAATGGAGGAAGAACGGCACTGTATTTGCAGTTCATGAGCTCCCCAGTGTGGTTAAAAAGGATAAGTGCAACCAGAGTTTCAAAATGTTTTTTTTTTTTTTGCTTTCAAACATCCTTCCATACATTTGGTTGAAAAGTAATCCAGACATATAATAATGGCAGTTAAAATTGTTCTTTTTCCCATTTGTTTTTATATTTGTTGTGAATTAGAAATGTGGAGTTTTCTACTGGATAAAAATGGTTAACTAAAAAGGTGAAACCAGCTTGGCTGTAGATGAACTTATCTGCATTGGAAAAAAAACAATTATGCAACAACAAAAATTTTTCACGTTTTGATATTGCTGACATGAGCAAACGGGTATTTATTCCTATTAAATTTCTGGCCAATATTCACTCTCCTTGTAGATCTCCACCAACTCTTGAGGGAAATCTTTGGCTCTTTAGCTGCTAAATGCTCCACAGCATTCACTGGCTAGTTTGCTAACTTTGCTGTCTGGTGCTGGGCAGGTAGCCTCCAGTGGGTTTTTAGAGCTATTTGTCTGCTGCAGCTGTTTAGAACAAATAGCCACTCAGTGAAAACACTGAGTGGTGAGAGTGAATCAAAACGGTTAAATTGCGGGCTATAAAACCAAAACAATGAGCTCAAAGTATATTTCATGACAAATTAACACCAAATATAAAAGAGAGCATCCCTTTTATTAGTTAAATAGTCCATTCAATCAGGAAAAAACTCACAAACCTACATTCTTCAAAGCTTGCAATGAACTATAATCAGCTTCACTAATTTGAGATTAATGTTCTTGAAATTACTGCTTGGACGTTGGCATTTGCTAAATTAAATAACAAGGAGGATAGAAAAAAGGATGGTAAAGCAAAGGGATATAAGGGGAAGAAAATGGATTCCAGGAGAGATGCTTAGAAGAAATATAGGAGGGAAGCTATACAGCAGAAAATAAAAACAGACCGTAGAGAGAGCCTGAGCTAAGTAAGGAGAGAAAGGATGCAAGGAGGAGTAGGAGACAGAGGGAACCTGAATTATTCTGCTGATTCATATAACACCAGAACATGGCCTAGTCAGCTAACAGGGAACAATGGAGGAGAGATCAGCTTTTTCCACTTCTTCCCCCACGGGGAACCTTCACAGCATTGAGAGAAATCTGCCTACTGAAAGAGCACAGAAATAAAACTTATAATCCCTGATCATACTTTTGATTGTAAATAAGTATTGACAAACAAACCCAGCTTTGTTTTTGGAATGTACACATTAAGGCATGAATTTATATACACTTATTTTGTGGAGCGCTGTTTCACACTTTTAATCCTACAGTAACACAATTTAAATTTTCATTCTGTTGCAACTGGGACAAATATAGGAAATTCTTCACCTGCCTATACAACAACAGCTGAGGAAAGATTACGCATTTCAAGATGAAGGCAAATGAGTAAGAATATATACAGGCGGTTTAATTATGGCCAATAACAGTCAGGATGTTTGTTGCTTAATGAGGAAGCAGAGGAGTAGAGGGTCATCAGGGGGCAGGTGTGGGCGGTTTAAAGAGACCAGTCTTTCTGAAGTAACGCACGATGAGAGGCACCGACACCAGAGTGATGCTGATGCGAACCGGAGCGAAGAGCTTGTGGATGGCGTAAGCCAAGACGAATGTGCTCGTCCCTGCTGCCATTTTAGACCGAACGACTGCTTCGCTGAAGCCCAGTTTGCACAGCAAGGCCGTCATATCGATCCCACTGGGGAGACAAATGACATGGAAAATTGGTGAGAAGTACAAAACAACAATGTAACATAATGATAAAAGGAACAACTTTTAAAAATAAAATAAATTAATAATAAAATAATTAATAAATGTAATGAAAGAAATTAAAATTAAAAAAACGTGAGAAAATAATAATGGTAAACAGCCATCCAAACCCCCCATGCATCTTAACAATAAGATTACTTTCTATAGGCTGGATTACTACAGAAAGAAAATAAACGTTGAAACGTGCCTGAGCTTCAGAGCCAAAAAGTCCTAAAAGCTTCAAGATGCAACAACCACCTCTCTTGCTTTTGCCTAGCTTTTGTTCCTGGCTGGTTCCTCAAGGACCAGGAGGGGGACATTAAATACGCTGCTCAAAAAAATAAAGGGAACACTAAAATAATACCTCCTAGATCTGAATGAATGAAATAATCTCATTAAATACTCCTTTCTTTACATAGTTGAATGTGCTGACAACAAAATCACACAAAAATTATCAATGGAAATCAAATTTATCAACCCATGGAGGTCTGGATTTGGAGTCACACTCAAAATCAAAGTGGAAAACCACACTACAGGCCGATCCAACTTTGATGTTATGTCCTTAAAACAAGTCAAAATGAGGCTCTGTATTGTGTGTGGCCTCCACGTGCCTGTATGACCTCCCTACAACGCCTAGGCATGCTCCTGATGAGGTGGCGGATGGTCTCCTGAGGGATCTCCTCCCAGACCTGGACTCAAGCATTCGCCAACTCCTGGACAGTCTGTGGTGCAACGTGGCGTTGGTGGATGGAGCGAGACATGATGTCCCAGATGTGCTCAATTGGATTCAGGTCTGGGGAACGGGCGGGCCAGTCCATAGCATCAATGCCTTCCTCTTGCAGGAACTGCTGACACACTCCAGCCACATGAGGTCTAGCATTGTCTTGCATTAGGAGGAACCCAGGGCCAAACGCACCAGCATATGGTCTCACAAGGGGTCTGAGGATCTCATCTTGGTACCTAATGGCAGTCAGGCTACCTCTGGTAGCAGTCCTGCTGCTGGGTTGTTAATAATAATAATAAATTTTATTTATAATGCACTTTACATTTCAGGGAAATCTCAAAGTGCTACAACAACAAGGGGTTGTTGCCCTCCTACGGCCTCCTCCACATCTCGTGATGTACTGGCCTGTCTCCTGGTAGCGCCTCCATGCTCTGGACACTACGCTGACAGACACAGCAAACCTTCTTGCCACAGCTCGTATTGATGTGCCATCCTGGATGAGCTGCACTACCTGAGCCACTTGTGTGGGTTGTAGACTCCGTCTCATGCTACCACTAGAGTGAAAGCACCGCCAACATTCAAAAGTGATCAAAACATCAGCCAGGAAGCATAGGAACTGAGAAGTGGTCTGTGGTCACCACCTGCAGTACCACTCATTTATTGGGGGTGTCTTGCTAATTGCCTATAATTTCCACCTGCTGTCTATTCCATTTGCACAACAGCATGTGAAATTGATTGTCAATCAGTGTTGCTTCCTAAGTGGACAGTTTGATTTCACAGGAGTGTGACTGACTTGGTTATATTGTGTTGTTTAAGTGTTCCCTTTATTTTTCTGAGCAGTGTATAAAGTAAACGAGTCCATTCCTCTCTTTGGGTCTGTGTGCACATCACCTTTTATCTCCACCAGAGGGAGCTGTGTTTGATCAAGAATGTTGTGTAATAGTTTATTTTGCAGCCTTTTAACGCATTTATACTGATGAGCATAACAAGCACTGCAGGCATGAAATCAAAGCAGGTTTAACAAGGTACACGTATCGCTGCCTTTGGGCGGCACTCTTGTCGAAGCATTTTCATGAGTCAGGAAAATAAATATGTAAAGAATGTGCCCAACACGTGGTTCAGAGCTGCGTCAGTCAACACAGCTCTCACACACACACACAGCTCAGTTGCAAACTTTAGTCAGCTAAATATAAAGATCCATCTGCACCCTGACAACTGTTGGGTTCTGTGGCCACACAGTGATCAAGCTCATGCGAGCTACAGAGTCAGTTTTCACTTCGAGGGTCATTATCGGCTATCCAAGTAAATCTCCAAGCTGTCAGATAATCTGCCAAGTCTCTCTGGTATTTAAGCCACTGGCATGTGGCCAGACAGACTGACAAGGGCCTCAAAACTGTCTAGACTGACACACTTGCTAAAACGTTGTGCTGCGCTGTTTTAGCTTTTCACTGTCTGTCCCCATCAATAGAAGGCTATCAAATGCACAAGACTATTTAATGTATTTCAAATTCTGCATGGCTTGTTGCAAAGTTACAAGTCTTTAAAAAAATGCTTGTAAGATGAGAAATTGAACGTGATTTCAGTGTCTGCCTGATTCAGCCGGTAGTGGTTTTTCAACAACAGCATGGCCGGTGTAATGTAGCTGACTGACTAGACATTTTCAAGTGCCTGTACTTTGCTTTCTCTCATAACAGGTCCCATTTACGGGCAATTTGCAGCAGACATTTTGCATTCCACTGTAATTTCCATGAGTCCGTAATTTCCTGTGCACAACTTCAGGTTTAAAGACACTAACTGCCAGATAATATCAGTAAGTGATGTTTGATGCAATACGTTGAGTGCATAGTAGTCTTGCATTTTACTTTCCCTTCAGCCAGCTTCATCTGCTTTTACTCCAGTCAGTGATTTCCTACATTTCCCCCAAAACTTTGAAAGTGCTTAGGGAAAACTTCAAAATATGTTGCATAAAGTATGCAGGCTCTAGACGATCACTCTGAACAAGAGAAAAAGATTCCTCTACTGACAATAAACCACAATAGTCAAAAGTACTTCTCCTTCTTGTGCTGAGAATCGCTGTATCTAGAAATATGCTTTGACATAGCTTGACTTTACAGCAAAGAATCTATACTTCATCAATCAAAGAGATAAAGAGAATTTTACAAAACAAGAAAAGAGGACCAGACAAGGTCATGGTCCACCACGTTTAACCACAATGTTAAGACATTTTTAAGGTGGATAATTTTGCACTTCATCAATCCTGTGATCTTTTGTTATGAAAAGACAAAATGGGAACTACTAAATAAAAACTCAATCCAGTATAAGTGGCCACATTCACCTCTAGATAAAGCAATAATCTGATGTTTTGTTACCTGGATATAAGGAGGTAGAACATTCCTAAAGACATGAGTGAGATCCCGATGTGAAATGAAACTCCCACAGCTCCATACTCCTTGAAGACTTTCTTTAGTTGCTGGGTCTTGTTGGGTTTTCCTCCATCTGGCTCCTCTGGGGCCTTTGTGGCGGATAAAGATGTAGTAGAGGCCTCCTTTAAATTCTGCTCCTCCTGGACCAAAAACATTAATAAGAGCAGAGTGAAATGCGAGGATGAATTAAGAATCAGACTCGATCAGAGTCGGATAAAGAATCCCTGGTGCTACAGGAAGCAGAGGAATGAGACAGACAGACTGTACATCTAGACAAAAATGGAATGAACGGCAAGAAGTGGATTACAATTGTGGGAATAGTTACCACTCTGCATACAAAATCGTGACACTTTTCACTTTAGCTTTCCAGGGATTCCCTCGAACTACAAAAAACTGACAATGACCAAGATGGAGGCTTCACTTCTTGTTCATATTATGTCACTTTTTGGATTTCAATACACGAGGCAGAAAAGCACAAACAACCAACCACTTAGTATGTTACATTCAATATCCACTTGACGTGAGTTGACAATGTTAGGTGTTGCTGTGCTGTTTACTTTCACTTTAATTTGTTACGTTTGTCTTGACAAAACACTTGTTGTAAATGTAAAGTTATTTAATTCAAGTGTTTACAGGCACAATTAGTGTAAAATGTAAAAATTCCATGCATGACCTTTGACCTTACAATTGTCAGGGTTACAGTTTGCTTTGGCAGGGTAGTATGATAAAACAATCTCATTATTACACAATTCATCTAAACAAGTTCAGAATTTCACCAGAATCACCACACAAAAGGGTGTATGTTGGAGTAATTTTGTTCACCCAAACAAACTTATTATTTTTTTAGGTCAGATATAGAAATCACTATTGTCATAGAGAAAATAACTGCTGTGACAGCTTCATCCATGTAGGTCAAACAAAGGCTGAATAGAGGAAGCCTTTTTATTGTTTCTCTGTTCATCGTGCAGCCAAGTCAGCTGATTTAAACAGAATGTGTGGTTTAGGTAATACAGGTGCTGGTCATAATTAGAATATCATCAAAAAGTTGATTTATTTCAGTAATTCCATTCAAAAAGTGAAACTTGGATATTATATTCATTCATTACACACAGACTGATATTTCAAATGTTTATTTCATTTAATTGTGATGATTAAAACTGACAACTAATGAAAATCCCAAATTCAGTATCTCTGAAAATTAGAATATTAAGACCAATTGGAAAAAAAAGGATTTTTAGAAATGTTGGCCAACTGAAAGGTATGAACATGAAAAGTATGAGCATGTACAGCACTCAATACTTAGTTGGGGCTCCTTTTGCCTGAATTACTGCATCAATGCGGTGTGGCGTGGAGTCAATCAGTCTGTGGCACTGCTCAGGTGTTATGAGAGCCCAGGTTGCTCTGATAGTGGCCTTCAGCTCTTCTGCATTGTTGGGTCTGGCGTATTGCATCTTCCTCTTCACAATACCCATAGATTTTCTATAGGGTTAAGGTCAGGCGAGTCTGCTGGCCAATTAAGAACAGGGATATCATGGTCCTTAAACCAGGTACTGGTAGCTTTTGGCACTGTGTGCAGGTGCCAAGTCCTGTTGGAAAATGAAATCTGCATCTCCATAAAGTTGGTCAGCAGCAGGAAGCATGAAGTGCTCTAAAACTTCCTGGTAGACGGCTGCGTTGACCTCAGAAAACACACTGGAGCAACACCAACAGATGACATGGCACCCCAAACCATCACTGACTATGGAAACTTTACACTGGACTTCAAGCAATGTGGATTCTGTGCCTCTCCTCTCTTCCTCCAGACTCTAGGACCTTGATTTCCAAAGGAAATGCAAAATTTGCTTTCATCAGAGAACATAACTTTGGACCACTCAGCAGCAAGTCCAGTCCTTTTTGTCTTTAGCCCAGGCGAGACGCTTCTGACGCTGTGTCTTGTTCAAGAGTGGCTTGACACAAGGAAGGCAACAGCTGAAACCCGTGTCTGGCATATGTCTGTGCGTGGTGGTTCTTGAAGCACTGACTCCAGCTGCAGTCCACTCTTTGTGAATCTCCGTCACATTTTTGAATGGGTTTTGTTTCACAATCCTCTCCAGGGTGCAGTTATCCCTATCGCTTGTACACTTTTTCTACCACATCTTTTCCTTCCCTTCGCCTCTCTATTAATGTACTTGGACATAGAGCTCTGAACAGCCAGCCTCTTTAGCAATGACCTTTTGTGTCTTGCCCTCCTTGTGCAAGGTGTCAGTGGTCGTCTTTTGGACAGCTGTCAAGTCAGCAGTCTTCCCCATGATTGTGTAGCCTACAGAACTAGACTGAGACCATTTAAAGGCCTTTGCAGGTGTTTTGAATTAATTAGCTGATTAGAGTGTGGCACCAGATGTCTTTAATATTGAAGCTTTTCACAATATTCTAATTTTCTGAGATACTGATTTTGGGGTTTTCATTAGTTGTCAGTTATAATCATCAAAATTAAAAGGAATGAACACTTGAAATGTATCAGTCTGTGTGGAATGAATGTATAAATTATACAAGTTTCACTTTTTGAATGGAATTACTGAAATAAATCAACTTTTTGATGATATTCTAATTATATGACCAGCACCTGTATGCTTGATCTAACCCTTTCAGACTCATGAAGTCTGTCACTCTCTCTTACAGATGCGCGCGCACACACACACACACACACACACACACACACACACACACACACACACACACACACACACACACACACACACACACACACACACACACACTCTTCAGCTGTCTGACATGTAGCAGGGAACAGGCAGGTCACTCCAGTGTGTGCTGGCAGTAAAACAGATTAGTGAACTACACACAGCACAACAATAAGGCCACCACAGCAGACAACAGACTGCAACAGAACATTGGTTATGGAGGCGTGACTCAGAGCAGCTTGGGAAGAAGGAATTTAAATAAAGAGTGCAGTATGTTAACAGTACAATATGTAAATAAACATAATCCTCCCTCTAAATCCTGAAGGGCTGCATTTTACAACAGTAGTCCTGCTTAATGCAGCACAACCTGTACAGGAAGTTAAAAAAAGAAATAGTTCTATGCCACTCATGTAAACTCTTACAGTTGTTAAACTTTAATGCAAGGGAAAATGAAATTTGAGTGCCGGATGTACTCAGCATTGAGTTGACTAAACAAAGCTTTGTGGTGTTGTACAGTCATTTGGCTTAAAATTGTTGTCTCATGTGAAAATCTTTCATCATATCCCTCTCTCAAAACATCATTGATTTGTTTTAATACTAATCTGTAGGTAGTCATTTATTCAGTGTCCTGACATAGTTTTTGTTACATACTGTGTGAAACTGCAATATACATTTTCCCAGGCTTTGAGCTGTGTTGGCAGCATACTGAAAACCTCTTCAAACCATTTGAGTAAATACCTGGGTGCAACTGGGTTATGGTGCAGCAGGGGTTCCAGGGACAAGCTGAACTTTTTAAAAGCGTGTTACTTGAATGCTAGGACTCCTTTTGGGAATTTAGAAATGATTAGGTATAGGGATGTAAATGGGCCCATAATGAAGATAATACATTTATTATGGATCATGAAGAACAAGACAATAGGAGAAATATCTGTAGTGAATCACAGATGCAGCATGCAGGAGGGCAGTCCAATGTGTTTCAGTTTTAAAATAAAATTACCTTAATCAGGAAATATCTGGCTAAAGAACGAATAAATAAGCCCAAATATCCAACCACGCATTCAGAACCAGAGTTCACTATTTAAGAGTTTCTGATACCCAGTGCTATGGGGCTCCTCTAGTGTGCTGCTATGGTAAGTCTGGGGCGTCCTTTCAGGTTAATTTGAGCTTTCATTATGATTAAAGCTGCTAGGGGAAAATAATTTAATTTGTATTGCCCATATTTAATATTTTTTTTGTTTTGATGATTAGGGCTGTTAAACTGTAATTGGAAAAAGTAAAGAAATGGCAGCTGACGGGAGGACATTGTATCCAGTGCTTCCATTTCAAGCCAGGTTATTTAAATATGTCAAAAGGAAACGTATTCCCTCTCTGAGAAAACAGGAAGTAGCTCTGGCCTCTATGGAATGAGCCTAATTTTTGACATAGTATTGACCGTGTGCCTACAAAGCTGAGACAACTTAAGTGCAAAGAATACGATCTACTGTGACCTCTTTAACAGGGAACTTATTGTTACAGTAGTCTAGGACAACTTGAACAGTGACAAGGACAAAATTTAGGCTGATGAGAAATGTGTTTATGTGTATAAGGATACTTTTCCTGTGAATTTTGGCAGAAATAAGCAGATAAAAGAAGACAGAAATTATAACTATGGTAATAATATGCATAAGAGTAACTTTTACCTTACAAAAAAATGGAAAAATAAATGAGCTTTCAATATGTAATGCTCTAGATTTCTGACTGAAGCACTGTACTGAAATGTGCGAAGTTTCAAAGTTTACATAGGCCTATGTGTAACAGGATATTTCATGTACATTTGTTCTCCATTCAAAACTTGTTCCATTGATTTGAAGTTTAGCAACTTGATTTATAACTACTTTTGTAACTGCTACCTTGTTGTTCCTTCCATGTTCAATAACTCCATGGTCAAATGTGACACATTCAGTGGAAAGATCTGTTTCTGAAAAGTGGGACTGCAAAAGGCAGATGTAGCCTGCTGTCTTTTCACTGCCATGGAAGACATTTTCTCTAAACAGTAACTTTCATTTATATCCTTCCATGCCTTTTTCACTGCACTGACATCCTGCTTGCTTTCAACTGTCTTCTCTTGTAGGCCTGAGCCAGACAATTAATCAACAGGGCAGAAACAATGAAGAGGAGAACAGGAGAGAAAAATGCTGATCTGTTCTCTTCGCTTCAATTTGTCTTGCTAAATTTTGGCCAAAGTCTCCTGGATGAAGCTAGAGTCTTGGCGACGTATTCACTGGCCTGCCAACAATAAACAATAGCAAGGCCAGAGTGGGCGAGGGGAGCAGGCCTTTTGCTAAAAGTAAAGGCAGGCAGCAGTGTAGGAGGGTCATGTGAGCCAGCGGCCAAAGGGAGTTGTGCCAGGGAGGGTGTATGGGAGGGGAACAGTGGGCTGCTGTGTCTGATAACAACTTCTCAGAGGCATGAAAACACATACAGATATGCGAAGTCACAGTGGCATGCAAACAAAGACACACATACGTGCAACTACACAGACAGAGCAGGGGGGAAATGTCAGAGGCTCGAGCAGCTAAAAAGTCACTGCTGAATGTCAAACTGAACAAAATATCCTGCTACAGAACTGTAATTTCTTGTCTCCTTAAATGAAAAACTGTACCAATTTTATCCATCAATTGTGTTTACAGCTCTGTGAGTACTGCATATGAGTGGGGGTAAAAATTGCACAAAGCCAAAATCTCATAAATTACCTTAGGTGATGACCCAGACTTATCAACTCTACCAGTACTTCTGTTAATACTGTACCCACACTCCTTACATTTATATTTCATATTTCTACCTATTCCACGTCAACTCTAACTCTAATACTTATTATTACCATTGCTTTCTAATTCATTACATTTCTTTAATACGTTAAAACACTGTACATATCCACACTGCTTTATATTTATATTTTTATATTTGTACATTCAACTTACCTACGTTCTATTATTATTTATATTCTTTATACCTTGATATGCAAGTGAGCAATTTGGAAAGAATTTTCCCTTGGGGATCTATAAAGTATTTCTGATTCCCACTTTGCAAGACACAAAAGCCACCAGAATCCAGGTTGCCCACTTCATAAAATTGGCAGTGTGGTGATGTGCCTACATTAGATGCTTGCAGAAGGGAGGATTTTGAAGATGAATAATGGCTATAAAGTCTTTAGATTACAGCAAGACTTATGATCAAAATAGGTATTCTTTTGTCCATACCACAGAGCCCGATATCAAAACATAGTTTTGGCATTTCTTTACTGCTATTTATTGTTACTTGTTGACCAACATTAGTAACAATATGCTACAATAATCTGCCAATATATAATTGGCCTAGTCTTAAATAAAATTCAAAATAATTTAGCTCAAATCACCTCTGTGCCCAAGTACAGCCTCAGAGAGCATCCAGCCTGGCTGTACACTTTAGACTTGTGTACAGTAATTATCTAACAAAAGTCATTATAGGACAAGTTCACCCACTTTTTAATCTACTGCTCTTTCACCTCTTATTCTGTCCTAAACCTATCTAATTTGAATGACTCATTCTTCCAGTGACTTCCTACAGAAGGAGCCAGCATGTCCAGTTGAACAGCCAGGTGTCAACGAGCCTGTTGCACAGTGAGTCAGAATGAGTACTCTCAACTCTCTGCTTCAGATTCAAGTTGTGAATGCGGATCTTTATGCATTGTAACTTCTGTGTATTCCCTGCAAACGTAGACAGCCCGCATGGGGCTGAGCGTCATGCAGTGTTGTATAACAATCCTGCCTGCTTACATGATGGCTGTTACCGAAGAGGCCCCGGCAGGCTGGCAGCCCTTTGCATATTTTATGGTTTTGAGGTCAGAGACACGTTCACGGTGTTCCCCACCAGTTGATCACTGTGTGGACACAGACTCGGACCTGTGTGCTCTGATTAAATGGTCATTGGGGTTACACAAACACTTGAGTTCAGTTGTTGAGGATTACCCTTTTGTTGTTGTCAGCCGCCTGTCCCTCGCTGGCGTCGCTCTTCTTCGTGGCGGTGGAGGAGGATCTGGTCTGCATGGTCCTGGTGGAGCAGCATCGATTGAAAACCCCCCAGCTAACATTACCTGTGAACAAAACACTGCCCACCGACTCTCCTCCCTTGCCGTAGCGCCTGTTCACGTGAACAAGCGGCCGCCTGATACTGTGTGAATTGCCGCCGTCACTTTGCACGCTTTGGGAGAGACTCTCAGCTATAGCAGCCACCTGGTCCAAGTGTCTCCAGTCCGTGCTTACAAAACCAGCCGACCAGTCTGAGTTCTGGACGTGTTGCGGGTCCGATTGCTTCCCCAGTTGCACAAGAGTTGAATCGACGCCCCAGACGGACACGCAGAAACACCGGTGTCGCTGAAACGTGTTGTCTCTGCGTAATGTCAAAGTCACGTCTCTCAGTCTGTTTGCTTTAACTTGCACAAGAGGCGAGCCAGTTGACTTGAAAGCCTGATCCAGAGCCGCTGCAGCCAGCCGCTGCCTCCCTGAGCGGCACAACAACATTTTCAGCCTTGAAACCAGCTTCGTGTCTCCGGAGGAAGATAAATAAATAAATAAATAAATCGAGTAAGTAGTTTACAACAGCTAAAGGCTAATTATGAGTGTAAGTAGCTGTAAACATGCTGCCCCTATGCCCTCCTGCCTCTCTCCGGTCCTCTTGTTGACCGATTATCCCCGTCAGCCAATGAGGGCTGACGCGCAATCGCAGATACTAAAGCCTGAAGAGAAAGGAGGGGGTATTTAAAGGTGTAACCTTGTTAATTCTTACACTTGAGTTATATCACGAACCGTCTCGGGAGTATATGAAACTGAGCCCAATACATGTGTTTGTAAAGCCAGGCAGCGCTGCTTCAAGTATACTATACTTTTTAAATGAATACATTATTTGCAGGCTGTTGGTTCACTTTAGTACACTTCAGGTAGATAAGGAGCAGTTTGAGTCTTGAATATAGCTCCAGTTGTCATCTAGCAGAGTAAGAGACCCACTGATCCAACCTCGATAGCCCAAGCAACGTTTGACCATGCTGTGAATAAAATTAGCAAAACAACACAATTATACAGAATTCTTATGACAAACTATACAGTGTTAGTTCGTGCTTATCTGTTTTTGGATGTACATACTGTGTGTTTATGGGGAGATAAGGCTGTCCAACCAGTAGAAAGAAAAGATAACAAGTCATTTGTAACGGTCAGCATGTTGTTTTTATAGCCGTTGCATCGCTCATGGAGGAAAAAAGAAAGATGTAATGTATTCAAATCTTTAACGTTGCAGTTTTTCCCCTTAACTGTAGGTGAAGCCAAACGATTTCCCTGTCTTCTCTTCTGGTTAGGGGACGTATTGAGACCTTTTAACTAAAGTAGCACTACCATACAACAAAAAAACTAACAAACACCATCACAAGTAAATGTCCCATATTTCAAATTTTACACTACTTACATTACAATACTTTGGTTTTGCATACATGTGCAAATTTACATGAGAAACATGAGGCAATGGTGCAGACATGTTAAGAAAAGCCGAGCTAAAAAGGAAGTGGTGGCAGAGCACAAGTACTGAAATCTCACTACATTTACCTCACTGTGGAAGTTTAATGTAATTCCTTAAATATTTCAGAGACCGATGAATCATGTCTGTGGTCACTGTTGCATCATGTGACAAACATGATCTGCTTTCAGATGTAAAAAGAGTGTTCTGTGGCATTTACAACTTTTTTTCTTAACCATACATTGCTGATAGAAAAGCATAAACGCGCATGAGGTAAAAGGCAGTGAGAAAGAAGTGCAAGTGAGTAGGAGGTGAGATAAAGAAGAAGAGGGGTGGGATGTTTGGCAGGAAGCCATAAAAATGGCATCGACAGAGCCTCTGACCTTTCCTCTGCAAAACCACAAGTACAACATATGGGCTGATTTAAAATAGAGATTATTTTTATACCCCCTCTTCATATTTATGGTCGGGTAAGAAATCCTTTTATTTGTTCAGAATGAAACATCTCTTTGTCAGTATGGGACATCACTGAATGTGAATGTTAAAAAGTGACATTAACTATTATTTGTAGTAGTAGTCCTCAGATGTGATATTAATGTGAACTTCTGCTTCCCACAGCCAGAAGGATCAGGAAGAAGTTTACCCTAGTTCCTTATCTGTGATGTCAGCTTAAAACAGTCCCACGTGGAGAATGGAAAAGGTGACTATTCATATAACTATGTTTAGGTCAGAATTAATTCTTAAATTAAGGTCACTTGGGTGTAAATGGTCTGACGCAGATTACTAAAAATTTCTCACATATTTTATTGGTGTGGCTCTTGGTTGGCTTAGCGTCAGTGTAACCATGTCTGCTCAGTAAACAATAATTTTGTGATTAGTTTTAAACTGGGCTAAATTTGACATCTAAAAAGGAAAACTTTTTTTAGATGTCGACGTTGTATTATAATAATTGCTTCAACAGCAATTCAGTGACTACATTTCAGTGTGTACTGTCATTACAAACAATAGTCACTTAAATGCTGGTGAAACAATGATTATACTAATGCAGGGATCCCGACCTAGACACATCTGGTAGGTCAGAAGATGATTAAACAGATGAGGGGGAAAAAACTATATATTTATGTTTATATATTTTTTTCTATAATTAAAAAAAACTTCTTGTGTAATGCGAGATGCTTTTACCACTTCAGGCCTCAATAATCCTCTAAATGAAACAACCAAGAACCTATGAAGGAAAATTTATTCTTTGGTTCATCTGAATGTAAATGTAATGTATGATCTGCTCATAACTCATGTCTGCATTTGGGCCATAACCAGTGATACGAGATTACAAGTGGACATTTGGTTTATTATGAGTCACTTGCCAAAAAGTTTGGGAATCACTGTAGTAACCTAGACTTTCACTTTTCAGTTAAATTTAGCTGCATGCTAATTGGGTGGTTTCTTGCTTAGGTAATGAGCTGTTCATTCAGCTTTCAAGATGACTTATCTGTTTTAAACTCTCATGGTGTGACATGGGCATTTCAAATACAACATATTTTATAAAATGCACTCACTCAGTACAGTACAAGACTTTGAACTGCAGTTATTGGAAACCGTGTTAATGAACAGATGTGGACTAAAATAAACAATTATACAGTTTTTGTGACGCATAATGTTACATTTCAGTTGTGTAATAACTATCATACATTTTGAGGCTTAAACATTGGATTGCACAAATGTTCGTTATAGGCCATGTTCCTTTTTTAAAATTAAATGAGTCAGGACTGTGAACATCACTCATCCTTACTTCTTCTAATTCAGAAGAATCGATTCTTTGATTCATCATCTTTCCAATGAATGTTTTTCCATCAGTGTTTTAACTGCAACTCGCTGAGTATTGCTTGTGATTGTGTTGTGAATTCTATGGAGCACCCTCCTGACCTGGCATCAGGCCTTGTAGCTAAAGGACTTATGCAGAAGGAGGAGGACATACTGAGAACTGCACACCTACAGCTAGGTCATTAATGTAGGACACTTTACAGGTGAGAGTTTGTTGTTAAAGGATGGTGTCTCAGCTCTGACATGCTCAAACCAGTTAATCAGGTTTATTGTGGACTGTAACATTTCCTCTTTTAGTTGAACTTAAAGTCGCAGAGAACTAAATGCTGGTGTGTGTCATGATTGGATCTCTTAAATAGCTTCTACGTGATGACACTTTCAGATTTACAGTATTGTGATCAGTGAAACGTGTGTTACTGTTATAGAACATCTCTTGTGTAAATTAATGCTTGCCAGCAAATTGTAATTATAAACTAATAAGTTAGTAATTTAAGTTTAGTTTTACAATTCTTTGCATCAAACATTAATTTGATTATTTTCTGTGATTATGCTTATAATTTGTTATATGTAATTATATATCAGGATCAAGGATAAGAGTCTACAGCCACCTTTAGGGACAGCAGTGCTTTGAGCTAAATGCTGTCAGCATGCTAGCATGCTAATGTTTAGAAGGCATATTTACCATATTCACCATCCTAGGTTATTGTGTTAGCATGCTGTTATTTGACAAATTCAAACTAGAACCGGATGATGGCACTAGAGGAAATGTCAGGGGATTGTCAAGGGAAACGTGAATATCTGCACACAATTTCATAGCAATCCTTCCAATAGTTCTTGAGATACAACTGACATTGCACTCCCTTGAGCCATGCCGCTAGTGTAGACATTAATATTGATTTCAACTATATCTCTGAGTCAGTAGCTGTTGCACTGACATAGTGTCTCATCTGAGAGTGAGTAACTGACTTTGACCTCAGAGTGGAAATACCTCGGTTGACAGGCTCTCATTGACTCGTTCTACTAAGACATCTTAAATTCAGGTCAAAAAAGACACCGAAGCCCTGTTAAGTCCAACGGGTCCTGGGAACCGGGCAGACGTTCTGACCCACTGAGCCATACAGTTCCTCCATGCAATCGTTCTTTTTGTTCAGCTTTTCTCTATGTCTTCTAACAAGCTGGCAGGATGATCAGTAGTTGTGGCCTCCTCCCCACTTTCAGTCCCTGCCATACAGCCTTCATTTGCATGCCGTCATTTCATCAGTGCAGATGCCCCTTCTTTGCATCCATCCATCCATCATGGTGGTCAGTGTCTAAGCAACATTTCCCTATTTTATCCTCCACACTCCCAACTGCTCCTCAGTACCTTCCAGCATCATCCCTTCCATGTATGTGTCCCGCAGGGTGGTCAGTATGTGTCTGTATGCTCTTCCTGGCTCTGATCCACGTCGTCCTTCAGTGAAGAGGACTGAAGGACTGGGACCGGAGCCAGCTGGCCTGGACTCAGTGTAACTCAGGCACAATAGCAAAGCCAGGCCACGGAGAGGAGGTTAATGCAGTCTGCATCATGTGTTTTCAGCCCTATTGTGCTCCTCTCTGTCTATATGCCTTAGACATACTGACTGTGCCCACAGGGGGCTTCAGATGAAAGAGTGATTTCTCCTAACATTTGCTCAAGACATGGTGATACAAGATTGTAACCATCCATCCATCGTCAACCGCTTATCCTTCATACAGGGTCGTGGGGGGTCATCAGGCAAAAGGCGAAGGTCCAAGACTGTAACCTGATGTAGATTTGTCAAATTAGTTACTGTTTTTGCTGGTGTATTTTTATTATTTTTTTTTTAATTCCATGACCCTGCACACTGTTTTGACAACCTAATGAACTGTAAAAACTATATATAGATATTCGTGCCTTAAAGTCAGCAGCTATGAGACTGAAAATGCTTGCCAGTGGCTGCTGTTTTCCACATGAACTGGCAGTGGAGAAAGTACAGTATGTTAAATGGCAGGAAACAAAAAAAGGCCAGTCAGATTCAAAATCCCTAAAATGTGTCTCTCGGTAAACTTTGAGAAGCATAAAATACTACTTTTCTAAATTGTCTTTACTTGTCTCTCTAACCCAACTGTTATGCGTCTGAGCAATGACTGGTGCATGCAGCCAGCAGAAATATTGACCCTGCTGACCCCACAGCCAGTGAACGAGAGGAAGTTCAGAAAGAGGGCGGAGGGGGTGGACAAAACAAAGAATCATTGAAGGAAGCACTTGACGCTGGGCCAAGACCCTGACAGCTGTGTGGTGAAGGGCGGTCCAGCCTCTGTCTGTTTCAGAACAAAAAGAAACTGTAGAAGTAGGGCAGAGAAAGCAGACGTCTCAGGGTGAAATATAGTTGTAACCTTCATACTGCATGCAAACATGAGGTGCATATTCATCTGGCTTCAGCATTAAAGTGCCTGAGTAATGTCTGAAGAAAACAATTGTGCTAAAAGATGAACAACAGCAAGAGTTGTTTTTTTTTCCCCCAACATGCAACAAGTGATGTGTCCACCCAAGCCATGCATGGCTTCAGCTAATTAGTGCTTTCACTGTTGCTTAATCTGTTGCTTATTTTCTATGAATTGCCTAATTGTAATGTCTTCAAATGTCTTGTTTTTTCCAACCAACAGTTGGAAACCAAAGACACTCTACATACAGTGATAAAACTGAGAAAAGCATCAAATTTGAACAACAGGGGACCAAGAGATGAGTGTCTAGGAACGTCGGACACATTCTAATTAACATGGTAAGAGATCCAACGTACCTGACAACACAAAACAGCTTCACTAATTCAGAAGAGATGATATAAAATTCTCAAAATATACAATTTATTCAAAATATGTTAATGCAACCATCAATATATTACAGTAATTACAAAATCAGTAGTTTTTCATCTTTATAATCTTATCCTTATAGACAACAAGGCTTGCAGACAAACACAAGCTTTGATCTTTAAATACCATGAGAACACCGGGTACTTTTCTGGCTAATACTGACCAGGTTGCAGTTTAAAATTACATTTCAGTGTTATTGGATTTCATTAATAAGAAGGCAGAACTGAAATTCAAATTGAAGTGATTGTAGCACTTGGACAGATGTGAGCTGGAGTAACTTCAATGAAATATAGCTGACTCATAACAAGATGATGTCACTGCCTTGGACAATTCTTGAAAAAATGAAGGAACCAAAAATAGGGGGTAGAGCTGTCTCTTTGAATGACTTAATTTGCACTTCCTCAAACTGAGTTTACAATCCAAACTGTTTCCAGTGACATCTGCTGAAAATTAGGAAAAAAAACACTAAATAAAGAAATCAACCGCAGACGCTGGTCACCAGGGAGAACACATTATGCATGATGAAGATACCTGGGTGCACTCAACTTCACAGATAGATTTTAAACTTCTGGACTACTAAGGGGGTCTACATAGACTCAGTTTCCCCTTTGACAACCAAATGTCTGCTAACACTCAATGTGGGTAATTGATTTTTCCTACAACTTCCTCAACAGTAACAACACAGACATGTAAATGCAGTTCATGGGAACAGATAAGGGGATACTAATACAAACATATTTACAAACACATCTGTACAAATATTTGACAATGTACAGTAGATAGTGGGGATAAAGTGGTAGTGGCATTGTGGTTAATCACACATTTAAAGGGGATGGTCATCAGACAAATCTCTATAGTGGCAAGAAAGCCTTCCTTCAAAGTTTTTAAATGTCCTTATAAGTAGTTTAAATCATGGAAGACTTTTTGGCAATCACAAGGAGATTAGATATTAAAAAGGAGTAAGTCAACATTTTGGGAAATATGCTTATTAGCTTTTTTGCTGAGCGTTAGATGAGGAGATTGATACCCCTCTCATATCTGTCTGTTAAATATGAAGCTGGAGCTAGCAGCCAGTTAGCTTAGCATAAAACTGTAAACAGCTAGCATAGCACAGTAAAAAGGTTTTTCAAAAGATGCACCTGTAAAGCAAAATCCACAACGACATGTCAAAGCACAGATGTAATTTATAACATGAATGATGGCTGTATTCTATTTCACTAGCTGTTTCTCCCGTTTTGCTTTCTTTATGCTAAGATAACCAGCTGCTAGCTCCAGCTATATATTAAAGGTGGGGTAAGCGATTCTGTAGAAATGCAATACAAACATGATATAGAAAACATGACAAATACCATGATATAGAACAAATAACGACACAGCAAGTAATGGAACTAACGTTAGCCAAGTTGTGGGTAAACTGTCGCTACAGTTGTTGCTGCTAATAAGCCTACATTTCCCAAAATGTCAAACACAGCAGAGAAACTACTTCTAGTACTTGGTTTTTGGCTGCAACGTTTATATTTTGTTATGAGGACACCTGACACGATGGTGTGGGCTCACTCCATACCAAATGTGGAGATTAATGTTTTTGTTTTTTGTTTTTTAAATCAGGCAAGCAGAGTCCATGTGTATCTTCAGTAAACTCATATTATACGTACAGTTATTCATTACATAACATTTACAGTTTCTGTTAGACAACTACAATGACTGGGAGATAAAGCCACACAATGGCCACCAGAAAAAAAACTACAAAGAAACCCATAAACAAATAACACTGTTATTTGTAGTGACACAAATATGAAATCCATCCCAATAGGATGGCCTGCTTGTGTGATATTAATAACATACATATAGCAGACAGTAACCCTTACTTCACTTTATCAGTTTGATTTTCCTTGTCAGAAGGTGCTTTGCTGGAAGACTCCCCAGCTCATCTTGCATTGCATTCACTCACCATCCAAATAATAAATACACTCAACTTTTTTTTTTCTTTTTTTTTACATATTACATAAATTTCATAAATAAAGAAATGTACAGTAATTTTCAACCATGTTTGCTTAAATTATCTAAACGAGAGAGCACAAAACATTATGCATAAAACAGAGCGTGACCTGTCAGTTCAGGTTTGATATGAGAGGACGGTGAGGTGAAGTATAGTTTGACAGAATATTACAAAACACTTGCGCACTACTCTGCTCTTTCCTGTTATCACTCGCTGTAGATATACACTTCCTGAATATTTTAACACTGTTTTATGGCATTCCTTCCCTTTTTACATATGCAGGCAGCATTTTAACGTGATAGATACTTCAAAAGAGAAGTCACAGGTCTTTTTGCTACGTTTAGCTATTTCTGATATGTTGTAGTACAACACATCTGGAACGCTCTGTGCTGCCCTTCCTGCACATTTGAAAATGACAAGAATATGTGAGCTCATCCTGAAGAAATGTTTAATTACATGGTAACCATCCATGTGCAAGATAAAAAAAAAAGAAAGTCTTTCATATTTATCTCTGAGGGCAGAACATGCACTTGTACCTTGAGATCTTTTCTGATTAAATTTTTTTAAACCTTTCCAGGTGAAAAGCTTAAAAAAACTGCCCACACTTTTCTTAAAGGTGGGCAGGGACAGCAGGGCCAGAGTAACAGCTTCTTGCACTCTTTCTATCCCTTTTGGCATGTCTTGTAGAGAGACTCCATTTTTGAAAAGGAATTTTAATCCAAGCGACGTCTAGAGGAAAAAAGTGGCATTGCTCAGTTCCTTTCCCGTTCTCTGCTACACTTGAAAAATGTCTGAATTTGGGGATGGTGTCTCTTCAACTGTAGCAGGGCATCACATGGCAGGGAGGTACAAGGAGAAGTTGCTAAACCTTCTTCAGGCCAACTGTCTTCTCTGGACGAAGTTTAAAGGAGGGGAGGAAAAGGACTTTAAAAGACAGCAACACTCACTCTTTCCTGCTTTCCTTCCTCCCTTCCTTCCCTCTTTTCTGTGCAAATACTTCCTGATCCATCAACAGTCACATGACCAGGGAGCTATGACACGCAGCAGCAGGTCTGCGCCTTTGGCTGCTCTTCCTCTATTGGCTGTTTCAGTTTGAGCAGGGGCGGGTCGCCGCTGGCTGGTGTGTAGTAAACCGCGCTGCCATTGGAGGAGACCAGCGGCATGCGGGGGTCCTCGGAGTTGGTTTTGGCATCAGAGAAGGAGTCTGTGGAGCCATTACCTAGGTGACCGTTAAACAGGGGGTGATTCAACAGTTTGGCGGCGGCCCTCTGTTTCTTTAGCTCAGACAGTGTCTGAGCGCGCTCTCGCGGCAAGGCTTCCTCCTGGGTGGGCTGGGTGGTGATGACCCCACCCTTGTCAGACGATGGCGTGTTGCCATTGGAGGGCGGTTGCGGCGGCATGGACGTCATCGTAGAGATGAGGCCGTTCTGTTTGCTGTTGCCATCTTTGAGGATGGTTGGCAGCTTGGGCTTGTCTGGCAGCTCCACAGCTATGACTGGCTTGACCTGCAGGACATCAAAAAAGATTTCTCTTAAAGCCTTCTGATAATCTGCTGATAATGTGCCCCAATTTGATGCAGTTAGTGTGTGGAAGCTCTTATTGCCTAATTAGAGCAACAGTTATTTTTGTAGCCGTCTTCACTTCAAATATGTGACTATCTAGCATTCTTATCTTCTGACTCTTCTGTTGGAAGATTGTATTGCACTTTTTTTCCATTGTGGGTTTCTTCCTGTGTGACCGTGTTTTAAAGACACCAAAATCTGACATTTAGACTCCTGATGTGTGGGAGAGATTATAATATTACACCTTTCTAGCTGTGCTAAAAATATCTGTCATGTCAGGTCACACATATCTGGCAAGTTATGTACAGGAAGTTAGAAAATACACCATCAAAGGAAGGATTCATTCTAAAATGTTACTTAACTAATGTAATTACACAAAAGGTTTCCCTAGTTAAAACTAGCAACAACAATAAAAGATGAATAACCTTAAGACTCACATTAACCACCTGGTTATTCTCCTGATCGGACTCTTTCTCCTTTTCATCCTCCTCCTCCCTCCCACCCCTCCACATGATGGCTTCCGTCTCGTATTCTTTACGGCACAAGTTGTGTCTGTCCGACATGCTGGCTCGCCGCACCACTTTTCTGTGGAAACAGACACAAGAGTTTCCAGTGAGAGAGCGCATTTGTCCTTGATCAGCAGGGCTCTTTGAGCGGGGGGGGGGATTTGTAGTAGCAGTAGTAACGCCAGCAGATGTCAGCACTTACCCACGACTGCCTGCACTGGATGTTCGCCTACACAGTGAGGTCTTGTGCTTGAGCTGTGACTTCATGATGATGTCGTGTTTGTGTTTGAGGTCCAGCAGGATGGCTCTGAACTCCTCATCCTCACACAAATCTTAAAGTGAAAAGGGTGAAGGACAGGAAATGCTCCTTTCAAATAAACTGCGTTTGCTTTACTGGTCTCTAAATGAACAATAAATGAACAAAACCAGGATTGTGCAATGAATTTGTTTATATAATTATCATTAACAATGCTACCAGTCTCTCATACTGTTAACATACTTAAGTTGTAATAATGTACCAACCATCAACACCGCCAAAAATGTAAAAGCCGACATAACTAGTGCTGAAAATAGCACAAAAAAGGGTTCCATATGCTTTAACAAGAAGACCCATGGTGTAAAATTGCATTGACTAAACGAGCTGGAAATGAGACCCTGCTGAAATAGGACTTTGTTTTCTTAACTCCCCTCCAGGTGTATTGATAAGAAAGTGCTGAGGTGTAAACATACCAATGGGGGTCTCCTCTAGGAAGGTCTTGGCGTTGAGACTGGCTCCATGAGACACCAACAGCTCTGCCACATGCATCTGACACAACAGCAGAAGCAAATTACGTTAATGGTTTCAG